GCATGCTAGATCTTGCATTCGTATAATAAATTAGAAATTCGATGTGAAAAAAATATTCTTCTGGCAATACATGAAGGTCCCGTTCATTTTACCGATTCGAGTTTTGCTACAGTAAAAAGCTCTCAGAAATAGTCACATTTAATTTTTTTACTATAGTAAAAAGCTCTCAGAAATAGTCACATCTAACTTTTTTGCTACAATAAAAAGCTCTCACATAAAGTCACATCTCAATTCGAATTAAAAACTCGAATCAGCAAACTAAACGAATTCAAAATTTTATGCCATGAATTGTAGCGTGTTTTGTTTGACCTATAACAATGGAGGTGGTCTCCTCACTACTCTAAGTGGGTTTTGTGTCTAGTCTTCTAGATTTATTTTTATGTGGTGTGACGGGTGATTATAGTATAATAAGTCACTTAATTTTGAGCACTCAGAAGTTTCTATTGGCTGTGTAGGTGAAGTAGCAAAAGCTTAATAACAGAGAATATGAAACAATTAGCTGTTAAGTAAACTGCTTCAAGATCCGTTGATTTCACATAAAATATCAAAAATTGGCTGCAATATTCGTTGATTCACAAAGAATATCGAACATTGGAGAAAGAAAAAAATCTCAAAAATTTCTTCAATCATAACTGATTTTCATAACAAGAGCGCGTCTAAATATATAGACAAAACAAAAACATAAAACTAGTCCATTTTATAATTAAAAATAATAAAAATGCGATTTTTTAAAGAAAATTTTAAATTGGAAACAAAAATAGAAACTATCAAACGCAAGAAAGCACAGTCAGAACTAGAATATAAAATTCTTAGGTCAACTTATAATAAAGATAGAAATTACTAAAATTAAATAATAAAAAAAGTCCTTTTGATGGCTCAAACGAGGGATTTTGATCGGAAAACTGTCACACGACATAGCAAAGCAACATGCCTTGCTTATTTAATTTCTACTCAGAAAAAATAAAGATCTTATAAAATTGAAAATTTGACTAATAATTTTAGAGTGATCCTAACGCGTCACAAAAATTAAATTCTTCTGCACCATATCAATACGTATTGTTAAAAGAATTGTATGTGTACTTGATATTGGTCATTCAGTGTGTTTTTTAGGTTGTTTACTTTTAAAATTTAGACTTTATTCATTTTGTTAGTTTGAATTATAATTTAAATTTTTATTATAATATTTTTTAACACAAATATTTAAATTTTAGTTTTTTATTATAATATATTTTCTCTCATAAATTTATTTTTTAATTTAAACAAGCAAAACGAACATCACCTTAGTACACGTTTTCTCTCCTCTACGCGTTACATTTGAAATTATTGATGCATTCTGTGTCGAGTCGTCTTATGTTTGTAACTCTCTTAATCGAAATGAAATTTCTCCATTTATGGAAAGAAAAAAAAAAACCAGACAAAAAAAACGAAAAAGAGAGAGAAAACACCTAGATGGTGGGGACCACTGAATAGAGGAATCTAAGTAAACGTGGCGGAATCACATGGCGATGGACCAATCTGAGTGAGAGTGTCAGTGCGGCTTCTCCTGCTTTCAACGTCACCAGCCTATATTTCCCAGTCCCCCACACCCCAAAAAGAATAAATTTTAAAATAAAAAAGTCATTTAAAACTCTCCGAAAATAGATAACCCAATCTTATTTTAAAAAAAAAAAAAAAAAAACAGATAACCCAATTGCCAATAAATATTTATTATTCAAACAAAAATAAAAGCTATTCTACACAAAAACGTCATATCTTACGGGGTTTTATCCCCTCTTTCACAAAAAGGCAAACCACGCAACACTCTCACAAAGAATCCGTTTCGCATAACGCCGTTAGAAACTCTCACGCCAAGTCGCCAACTGTAGGCATCTTCTCTTTTTCCTAAATTTTCTCTTCTTTTATTCCCTTTTCTTATTAAAAATATAATAGTTTTCTATTTTTGGGTTTCAGTTATGGTCCCACCGCTTGTGTTTGATGGTCCAGAAATCGATGTTGACGTCTGAGTCACCTTCCTCATTGCGGGCCCCACACTCAAAAAACATTGTATACTAGGTGCAGTGACACCAGAAAGCTCAGAATCTCGAGCGTGCACTGAACGCGATGTAGAAAGTGAACCGCGTGTTGGAATCTGACACTAATCTTGTTATCATTGGCGGCCGGTTGTTAGTGATGATGTTGGCGCGTGAAAGCTAAAGTTGACTCCTTACGATTCCTCCCTCATGTGGGTTATTTTTTGCTGAGCTTTCCCTCATGTGGCCTTACTTCTCACGCGACCGAAGGCAGGTGCAGTACACTTGCAAAGATATTTCCTTTCCTTCTTTAGAGTGGACCTTTGAATTTTTAACTTGTTTAAGTTACTAATTAATGAGTCAAAGTTGGGCAAAGATAATTAATTAATCAATAATGAGTCAAGTTTGAATAGAAGATTTTCTATCTAATCTATATCTATACCTATATAAATGCACGTATCGCCTAGGTTCTTTTACTTTTTTACCTGATGAATATCGCTTAGAATTCATCACAATAAATTGTTATTATTAAATTTTTACAGATTAAGATTCTGTTTATTTTACCATTTGAGTTTAGAATTTGAGTTTTGTTACAGTAAAAAGCTCTCAAAAACAGTCACATCTAACTTTTTTATTACAGTAAAAATCTCTCACATAAAGTCACATTTCAACTCAAATTAAAAATTCGAATTAACAAACTAAACGGACCCTAAAGAGGGAAATTCAATGTGAAAGTAGAACTAGTTCTTCATCATCATTCTTATTATTAAAATATATATGTACTTATTTTCATTGATTATGTTTCTATCAGGTTATTTTTATTGATTGTATTTCTATTCGTGGTTACTCATTAAATATAAAAATTTAAATTTAATGATATATTATACTAAAAATATAATTTCATTAATGGTTATACGTATTCTTAGTTAACAATAAATTTATTACAACCGTTTAATTAATAGTTTAATTAATATTACGTGGTCAAACACCGATAAATGAATATTAAAGTAATTTATTAATGATCTAAAAATATATACACTCTTTATTTATATGTCAAGTTCGGTTCTTATTTTGTCATCTAATGATTCTCATAAGAAAGATAGAGTCGGTGATTTTCTAAAAAAATTATAAAAATTACTGAAGCTTTAAGGGGTGTTTTGCTTTTAATTTTGCCTTTTCCGAATCTATGTTGGGGACATCTCACCACATGCTTCCCAAAAGTCCCATTCGACGTAAAAAACCATGTATAAAAATGCTAATCTTGTTTCTAGTAATATCTTAATGTTTGTTTGTTTTTTTTTTTGTTTAAACTTCTTTAATAGAGTTAAATTCATAGATAGTCTTGAACTTTTTTCTCTTTTTACAATTAGTCTCTGTAAGTAATTTTTTTTATGAACAATCTATGAATTCTAAATGTGTTCTATAAATGACCCCTCTATTAAATTTTAGATGGAAACCTTTAACTTTGTCTTATAAAATGTCCTTAAATTATTTTCTCTCTTTAAAAATAATTTATATATTAAAGAAAAATAATACCTATAATAGAAATCAAAATTACAAACATTTCTCAAAGCTTCAAAACCCACTAACCCAATATATATATATATATATATGTATACATATTTTTCCTAAGATCTAAAATAAAATAAATAAAATAAAAAACTCATATTTTTCAAATCTCCTTCCCTTAAAGTTTTTTTTTTATATCTGCCAACCCTCCTCAAGCTTCGTGCTCGTCGGCCCTCCGCCTGCCATTTGTTTGTCACTTCCGTTGCTTCTTTTCCCTACTCTTATCGCGCACACGTGACCCATCGCCGCTGCTACTTCCCTCTCCAGCCTCATTCGACCCCGGCGAGGCTTTTGGATTCAAACTCAAGAGGGTTTCGCATCTTGGAATGACACTTTTTGACTTCATTGACGACGGTTCGACCGGTGCTCAAGACTTAAATGCTTGCTACATATCTTGACTTGCCTTTGTTGCTCTTTAAATATTTTGCACTAAAGAGAAATTTCTGTGTTGTTAAGCTTTTAGATTTGATTTCTTTATATTCATATTTTTAGCGGAGAAGAGGACGACTTGTTATTGTTCTTTAGAGTTTTTCATTTTTTTTATTTTTTATTTGACTTTTTTAGTTTTTTAGTTCTTTTTTTGATTTTATAATTTTTAAGATAATATGGTATTTTTTTAAGTTAAGAAATTAAGTTTAATAGAGAAAAGATAATTTAAGAAATTTTTATAAGATAAAATTAACCATTTTCATTTAAAATTTAATAGAGAGATTATTTATAAAACATTTTTAAAATTTATAAACTTTTTATAAAAAATGACTATAAAAATTAATTATGGAAGGTAAAAAAATATTAAAATTCTATTTATTTTACCGATTTAAATTTAAAATTTAAAATTTATTACAGTAAAAAATTTTAAAAAATAATCACATTTAATTTTTTTATTATAATAAAAAAATTTTACATAAATTCACATCAACTCAAATTAAAAATTTAAAGTAATGAACTAAACACTATCCATAAATTTAACTCTCTTTACAAAGAGAGAGCGTGTAAGACGCGCGGATTAAAGGAGTGAATAGGGGGTTGAAGTGATACAAAGTGGACCCCACAATTCAATTGAGGGAGAGGAGGGGGGTGGGGAGGTCCGTATGTAGTACAGACAGCCTCGATGGAAATAAGTGTACGACCACCTGATTTTTGAAGCCTCTATGATGCCATTTCCGAGTTTTCACTATTTTACCCCTGTACCTGTACACCACACTATCATCATTCCTCACAAATATTTCACAAACCTTTTCTAATTAGTTTTTTTTTTTCCAAAAATTTTATTTTTCATTTTTTCAATAAAATATTAGTATATTCTTTAATATTTTTGATATTGCGGTGCTGCCACGGGCTCTTTGGATGCTTGGCCTAATTTTTATACGCACACAAATTCCCAAAAATTTCACACAAATTATTTTCTTTCTAAAAAAATATAGTACGCAGAATCCCAAGAATAGGAGAAAATAAAAAAAAACTTCGGGGGAAAACAAAAAAATATCCCCATTATTATGGCCCCCATTTGTTCCTTATCTCTTCCATCGCTCAGCTCCCCCTGTTCCCCCTTTCCTCCATCGAACCTTTCCCTCCCTTCTTCTTATCGTTCTTTCCAAAAACCAACACCAGAAAAATTTTTTTTAAAAAAAGTAAAAACAAATAGATGTAAATAAAAAAACCCATTTGTTTAGCATGTAACTTTTCTCGTGGGTTTCTTTAGCTTTTGTTGTTCTGATCAATGAATCAGAGAAAAATGAAGAGGGATCACCAAGATAGTTCTGCTGGCTATGGAGGTGCCAGCAACACTACTATTGGAGCTCCTACTATGAAAGGCCAAGGTGAATGTTCTGAGTTTACAAACGGAAAGGCCAAGATGTGGACACAAGAAGAGGAGCAAGAAGCCGGAGGAATGGACGAGCTTCTCGCCGTTTTGGGCTACAAGGTCCGGTCATCGGACATGGCCGAGGTGGCCCAGAAGCTGGAGCAGCTGGAGATGGTGTTGGGCTCGGCCCAAGAAGACGGAATCTCCCAGCTCTCCGACACCGTCCACTACAATCCTTCAGATCTTTCAGGTTGGGTTCAATCCATGCTTTCCGAGCTCAACCCCCAAATTGACGACAATACTCTACTCTCCAATAACCAGACTCCGAACACCAACCACAACCAATCTCATGTCGTTTTCCATGACGATTCCGAGTACGACCTCCGAGCAATCCCCGGCGTCGCCGCTTTCCCACCGCCACGGCCACCTCCACCGCCGAGCGACGAACAACAAAACGCTCCGAAGCGCTTGAAGACGACGGCGGCGGCGGTCTCAATCGAATCTTCTTCTTCCTCTCCTTTGAAAACCGAAGTTTCCGAGTCTACTCGAGCCGTCGTCCTGTTCGACTCGCAGGATGCCGGAGTCCGACTCGTCCACACTCTCATGGCCTGCGCTGAGGCCATACAGCAGGACAATCTGAAGCTCGCCGACACACTGGTGAAGCACGTCGGACTACTCGCGGCGTCGCAGGCCGGCGCGATGAGGAAGGTCGCGACCTACTTCGCCGAAGCCTTAGCGCGGCGAATCTACGGAATCTACCCTCAGGAGCTTCAGGATTCTTCTTTCGCCGATATGCTCCAGATGCACTTCTACGAGACTTGCCCGTACCTAAAATTCGCTCATTTCACCGCCAATCAGGCGATTCTTGAAGCCTTCGCGACTTCGAATCGAGTTCACGTCATCGATTTCGGACTCAAAGAGGGGCTGCAATGGCCGGCGCTGATCCAAGCCCTAGCATTGAGGCCTGGCGGGCCTCCGGCTTTCAGGCTCACCGGAATTGGACCTCCGCAATCGAACAACACCGATCCGTTGCAGCAAGTCGGTTGGAAGCTCGCTCAATTGGCGGAGACAATCGGAGTCGAGTTCGAATTTCGCGGATTCGTGGCCAATAGCTTGGCGGATCTCGAACCTTCGATGCTCGATCTACAGCCGCCAGAGATCGAGACCGTCGCCGTCAACTCCGTCTTCGAGCTTCATCGCTTGTTGGCTCGTCCCGGCTCGATCGAGAAGGTTTTGTCCTCAATCAAAGCCGTGAGGCCGAAGATCGTGACAATCGTGGAACAAGAAGCGAACCACAACGGACCGGTTTTTCTAGACCGGTTCACGGAGGCTCTGCATTACTACTCGACGCTGTTCGATTCGTTGGAGATATCGCCGCCGAGTCGGGATTTGATGATGTCGGAGGTATATTTGGGGAAGCAGATATGCAACGTGGTGGCCTGCGAGGGGCCGGACCGGGTCGAGCGTCACGAGAACCTGGACCGGTGGCGAGACCGATTCGGATCGGCCGGTTTCGACCGGGTCCACCTCGGTTCGAACGCGTTTAAGCAGGCGAGCATGTTGCTTGCCCTGTACGCCGGCGGTGAAGGATACAGAGTGGAGGAAAACGACGGGTGTTTGATGCTCGGCTGGCACACGAGGCCACTCATCGCCACGTCAGCATGGCAACTCGCCGATTTGGGATGAGTCGACTCAGCTCGATTTTCATTGAGTTCAGATGGGAGACCAACTCGGAAGGCCGGTTTGTTTGAAGACCAGACAGAACAGAACAGAACCCTATGCGTCAGATGATCACTGAATGTGATGCTTTTGGGTTTGTGAATGAGAGAGAGAGAGAGAGAGAGAGAGAGAGAGGGGTGAGGAGAGAGAATTGGACAGTAAAACAGGTCCAATCAAAACTGTGTAAAGAAAAATCACTTTTTTTTTTTTTTTACCTTCTTATCCTTCTACCTCTCGCTTTCCTTTTTATTTAATGTTATTTCCTTTATTTTTGTTAATCTAGGTGTTAAGTGTTTTTTTTTTTTTTTTTTTTTTTTCAAGGGTGAAACATGTATATTTATTTTAACCTTCTTGGGTTTTGGTGTTTGGGTGTAATAAATGGCGAGGCAATTTGATGCTCAATGAGACAGCTTTTTCACGACATTCTGTTTGTTTGGCTAAATTCCTATAAACGACCTGCAATTTACGGCTTTTTGAGTAGATGGGTTGTTTTGGGAAAACATTTCCGTGAACATGCGTATATATTTCTGGTTGGATTTTTGCATTTAAGTCTCCAAGACTAGTCTTGCTTTTAAGTTGTTCACATCCTATTTAAGCATTAAAAACAAAAGAGACTTATTGGCTAAAATGGCCTTTTGTTGCATGTTATGTTGAAATCGAGGCTCTAAAACGATACTCAAAACCACTAAATTCACAAATTTCTTTTTCTAACCTAGGACATTGTGAGGTCTTTTTCTTAAGGAGTCAAAACTCAAGTCACAAATTGATTTTTTTTATGTGAGAGGAAACATTATAACAAAAAAATTTAAATTATGATTTGAGTCCTAAAAAAAACAAGATTTTAATAATATCAATATAGCTATCCAACAGTTTCATTAGGTTTTCAGGAATATTATAACCAAACTCAGTCCTACTAGTTCAAACCGCTTTTCAATTTAATGGCCCGTACCTCATAATTAATCTCGTACTATTCATAGTCGCTCCGAATAATATCGACTGTTCCATTGTCTTAAAATTTGTTCTTCCTTCTATATCTGAAAAAAAATTTTGATAAACTTTTTCCATGTGTAAATTTGTTTGCAGGCGTTTTTATTTTGTAGCTTAAGTTGCTTTAGGGGAGAGTCATGACTAGCTAGTTTTCGGACTTACGATAATCTTTTTCTTTCTCTGCTAAAAAGCAAAGGAAAAAAAACAAAAAACAAACCATATATATAAAAGATATATATATATATATATATAAAAGATAGTTAGGTATTGGTATCCGTCTTATTGTGTACTCTTATCCCAAAATAAGTTACTTTGTGAAAGATCAAGTCTAACTTGGTATCGAATGGATAATGAAATAATGGCTATCTGTAATCCAATTGTCAATATATTTTTTTTTGGTCCTTTTTTTTTGTTGTTGTTAAAAGTCACAATTGGCAATATGCTTATCAAAGGTTATTTTGTTAATAATTGAAAAAGGATAATGTGTTTAAGGTTTAGCCAACAGTAAGGTGAAGTTAGGTTAGATGATCAAACTCATGGGTTAGTGCAATTCTTATAGCTGATCCATCCATCACTTCACACCTAAATCTATGAAGAACTTGCAGCTTATTAGCTAATAGCTAGGAGGGAGATAATTTGAACAAATTAGGAGCTTATAAAAAAAAAAAATCTTTTTTATTGTATCGTCCTATTTCCATGTATATAATAATCAATATTCAGAAAAAAAGGTTATAATAATCAATAGCATACAATATGCAGATTTATTATTCCACATGCCAATCAAAAGACACATGAATTAGTATATATTTATACTGTATAGTTAAAATAATTAATATTAAGGCGTTGAGTGGATGGTACAAAGCATTTCCCGGCCAATTGATGCTACGAGTTACTGTATATTTATGTATATTACATTAATTAAGGAAACTGGCTAATTTGTCAGGATGTGCCAAAATAAAACTTTGATTAAATCACCTTGGTAAGTTTGACAATGCATTTGGATTTTATATAGGGAAGCTATTAACTATAGTACTAAAATCTTTTTTGGACAATTATGTATATGTATCAAGGTTATAAATTAAGTTAATCATAAGTTTGAAGACGAGTTGATAGTTAATATATTATATTTTAGTGCAATTAATAAATCATGTATTTGACAGTTAAAAACCATTCACCAATTTCAATAATTAGCTAGTTTTTGCAACCATGCCCTAGAACATGCGTTTTGTACTTTCGATTGCTAAAGAAATTACATGCATGAAAACTTATAAACAAAGAAATACACTTGAAGATTATAAGTACGTGCTAAACAAAGGCAAATAGCAAAGGACACCAATCAGGGATGAAATTACACACACACACACACGACATCGTAGTATTAATATATATACACACATACATAATATTGCATATGGATATTCATCGGATAGGAAATATAAGTACAAGATTTTTGGGCATTATAATTTCATGAACAAAGTTTCTCAATTCTCGGCGTCATGAGGACAATCATCATGTACTTCTGATACTTATATAATTTTTCAAAACGTAGCAGCTAGATAGATGCCCTCGATGATTAGATCACCTCAGGTTATATACATACATATATATATATATATATATATTGATAAAAGTTATATACATATAACTAGTGCTGAAACTTCGAGTCGGCGGGCCGCCCGAAGCCCGAATTTTTTCGGGCTCGGGCGGGGCGGCTTGCCCGCCTGCCCGACCCCGAATTTCAAAAAACTAGCCGTTTTATCCCGTTTTTTTTGAAAAAAAATCATTTTTTAACCCCAAAATTTCCCTATAAATACCCCCCATCCCTCACACATTTTTCTCACTCAAACTCTCTCAATCCCTCTCAATCTCTCTCAATTTCTCTCAATCTCTCTCAATCTCTTTCAAGTTCTCTCAATCTCTCTCAATCTCTCTCACAATTTTTCTAAAGCTCTCTCTCTAGTGTCTATCAAATTCATCTTATTTTTTTATAATGGATCCTTTTGGTTATAGTGGTATTCCCGTTGATGCCCAACACAATGTAGAAGAAGGGCAATTTCCCACTAATGAGTTTGTTACGCAGCAAATGCAATCTACTAATCCAAGCCATGGTGGACGTACTGGAGGTCGTGGTCGCAATAGTGGGCGTGGAGAAGCGGCAGCAAGTACGACTGCGTCTGCGTCTGCGTCGGCAAGTGTTGCAACCTCCAGGAGAAAATGCAAGCGTACCTCGACAGTTTGGGATCACTTCGACATAATTGACGAGGTGGATAATGAAGGTAACACTAAACATATAGCTCAGTGTAAATATTGTTTATCTAAATTACAAGGCGACACTATTCACGGCACCACACACTTGAGACGACACTCTGAAAAGTGTCTTCAAAAGCTTAGCCAATCTAGCGGACCCGAACTCCGCCAAACACAATTATCTTTTGATCGCGCAACCGGTGGTCTAACCACTTGGAAATACGATCCGCAAGAAGATCGTATGGAAGTTGCGCGAATGATAGCTGCTTTAGATCAACCACTTAGTTTTGTAGAGCATCCTAATTGGCAACGATATATTAAGATTGTACACAATCATAATACACAGTTCACTTCAAAAACTACTCTTAGGAAAGATGCATTAATAAACCTTTTACACTCGACTAGCGGGTGCGTTGCGTTAACGACAGATATTTGGTCTGCCATTGCCAATAAAGATTATTTAGCTGTAACCGGACATTACTTTAAAGGATTTGATTTAGATAAGAGAATATTAGGTTTTAAATGTGTTCTAGGATCACATAGCGCAGATTTAATATATAACACAATTTTAAATGTAATTGATGAATTTAGTTTAAGAGATAAAGTAATGGCTATAACATTAGATAATGCTAGTGCCAATACAAAAGCAATTGAATTCTTTGAAAATGATTTAAGTCTATTCGGTGACGGTACTATTTTCCACCAACGTTGTGCATGTCATGTAATCAATTTAATAGTTAAATCCGGTTTAAAAGAAATGGGTAATCACATTAAAAGAATTAGAGATAGTCTTGCATGGATTCAAGGTAGTAACCAAAGACAAGAAGATTAGTTTA